GGAACTATATCTTTGACATGCACCAGCGCTTTCTCCAGAGAATTAGAAGGTTTGACATAGACTTTAATATTATATGAGGCAAACGGTCTTTGAAGTTGTTCAGCTGTGTCCTTTGGATATGGGATGGCTATCGTCGATAGCCATGATTTTTCAATTTTTTGTTTTCCTTTATGCTCCTTTCTAATGTTTATGTTATATATAGCATGCTCCTGCAAATGCTTCATATGCTGGATAATGATAGTGCTGAGTGAATTCGCTTGTTCACTCTGAGATATTTGTCATGATTGAAGGAAACCACATCGCCCAGTCACTGGTCATTTTAGTTATATGCGATAAATGTTTTCTGCATGATAGTAGTATACACTAATAATTGATATGAGTAGTTGAAATACATTTGCGTCAACCTCCATTTGACTGCTAACTATACTTAAGTGATCTAGATACTGGATGATGACGGCCGTTTTGCTTGTTTGTAGCCAAGCTCAACAACATTGTACGCGCGGTTTGACTCCCACAGCCTTAGAGAACCGAATTAGTTCAAAACAGCCCAAATTTGTTTTAATGTATTGCAAGTAGCTGCTAGCTAGCCATAGTTTGAACCAATTCATTTCTGAGATGAGTCACACTTGGTACACCGATGATGACCTTGACCACAAGTAAGCGAAATGACCGTTCGGCGTTAAGATCAATTCAAACCGGGTTATGTAGGCATTAGTGGTTATACCTGGTTTCTTATTTTGCCACTCCTGGATGGAATCAAGAAGGTGGTCTGGAAAAGTGGGTTTTCAAAGGAAACTGTGGAATTTGCAAACTGCTAATTTGATGATATAAATAATTTTTCTATCAGTGCTTATTACACTATATAGCTGAATATTACAATGGAGTGTGCAGCTTTCAATTATTATTATATCTCATATCTGCAATATTATATTACTGTTATGTGTTCTTGAGCAAACATCAATTAATATTTCTTGATAATGTCATTCTCTTAACTTTTGTATGGTAATACTATATTTGTTCACTTATACTTAACACTACTGCTATTTATTATTATTATTTGTTTGTAATGAATGATTATTACAATCCCACTGTGTTGTAATATTTCAACCTAGAGATAATGTCACGTGAGTAGTGGTGGTGTTGTTACTCTCACTGCCTCACTTTCACTCTGTGTCTCTCACCCACTCATTTTTAACTAGTTGATTGATTGATTGATTGTTAACATACACTACACTACGGTTTTTTTGTCTTCTTACGATATTCTTTCTTTGTTAACGCCTAATCATTTATTTATTAATTTCAACCTAACCACAGTACACAATAGCTGTTGTTAAGTTAGTCTATGTGCTGTGTTCGTATCGTCTGCACTGAACAACACACTGTGTTAACAATATGCTTAATTTACTGAATTCATTGGTTTACTGTTTCACACATGACGATATTATACAGCTACTACTGTAACAACAGAAGACAAGGGCCAGGCAACAGATCGTTTACCAAGGAAAATCAACACATATTTATAGATTTTAATGTACATTATTGTAGATTATTGTTAGTAGAATATACAGTCTTTTGATTGGTTGCTTCTAACAGAAAGTTAACCTTGCATCTCTTTGTGGCTGTGTCAGATCATCCATATGCTAACTGTATCCGCCTACTCAAAGCCTTTGTTCTCATTTTCTCACGACCAATATTGGGAACACAAACATTGACGTCAATTACTGTCTACCAACTTTGGCTAGCAGCCAGCTCTCACCACAAAGTCATCATCTCTAAATCTCACAGTCAGATTTCAAATATTATGTCGTGCAAATGTGATAAAGTTGTTTCGCTTTATATCACCTGGTTGATTTGGAATTAGTTGTGTTCTCGGAGCTGGTTGGTTTAATTGCAAAGCTTTCGTCGTCCTTCTGGACATCTTCAGAGCAAGTTTTTTTAGCATAAAATGAACTGATTTGAATTCTCCATGAATGATAGAATTGTGTCTCCTGGCGACTATCTTCGTGACTAGTGATAGTAGTCAATTTACATCTGTACTGATCATTTTTTATTGACTTGAAATTTGAACTTTCTTGTCATTTCGACATTATCCAAATCGAAATTTTTAATAGAGGAAATGCCAAAAGTGCTAGGGGATTCCTAGAAGCCTGGTACTCAAGTGAATCAGTGATTAACAAACATATTAATATAGACCAAATTTATCAGTTAATAAAAAGTAAATGACGTGACGAGAAAGTTCAAAATCTAAGTCAACAAAAAATGATCAATACAGATGTAAATTGACTACTACCAGTCACGAAGAGGGTTGACAGGAGACACAATTCTATGATTCATGGGGAATTTAGATCACTTCATTTTATGCTAAAGCTTGCACTGAAGATGTTGTCCAGAAGGACGACGAAAGCTTTGCAATTAAACCAGCCAACGTGGAGAACACAACCAATTCCAAATCATCCACCTGAGCTATAAATTTCTATTATTTGGCTGATCTCCTTGGTTAGCTGTGATAATTTCACAGACATGATACTATTGAAAGACTGGTGTAGTGATGAAACTGCTTGAATATTTTTTGTTTTCTACATTTGGTACACTTATCTAACAATGTTTAGCTGTGTATGCTTTCAGTCAAGACTGTATCTCTAACTATATCTCATTTCATTTAACTCAGTTAAAATAACGAATTTGATTTATCTTATATAACTAAGTTTGAAGAATTCTGTGCACCAAAATCACCTTCGTAGGGAATTAGCTGAAAAGTTGTAGTCTTTTAGTAGTCGATTCTCTGGACTCTCTTCGAGAAGAATCCATAATGTTCTACATTAATAGTGTAGTTTGATATAAAACTAACTGTAGAAATTTGAATGACTGTCTGTATGCCTGACTGACTTGATCGATTGATGCCAAGTTTTGGTTTGACTAACCCCTAACTCTTCCAACCTAATCGTATATCAGCTAACATCGCTCGTCGAGGAAGGCGATGGCTTGGCATACACCACACGTGTCCTAATCATTTCGATGAATACTGTTTCACAACCTTATCCTTACCCTCTTACTCAACTCTACGTCTAACCTCAATATTACTAGCCAAGTGATACTAATTAAGACAGGAAATCCTTGTGCTTACTAAAGTTTGGTGTGTTTAAAAAAATATTTACTCACTATTATCGTATTTATCATCATTGTCTGTGCGTCGGTGGCACAGAGGTTAGGACTCTCGCCGACCATGCACATGGTTCGGGGTTCGATCCCCGGCCGACACACACCTGACATCAATGGTCGGCCTGTAAAATTTGGGCTACCCATATCACATGCTGAAAATTCCATACTTCTACCAAAAGTACTGTGTGGTATCAAACTATAATAAAAAGAAAAAATCATAACTATTGTTAAGGTGACTAGTTGAGTATGCTTTATTTCTTCAGTCTAAGATATATTTTTGTACACTAATCTTCTGCCGGTTTGTATTGTTCTTTAGTGGTTGTTCTGTTTCTTTGTTTTTTCTTCGCGATAACATTCACAAATTGTTTTATTTACAATATCAACAACTATACTAAATACTTGAAATCGTTTAATGTGTGCAACAATCGCTTTTTTTATTGGTTAATAGTGCTAATTTTCATTTCACTTGAAGTCTCCTGTTTACTGTTCATTTCATGTTCATCATAGAACTGTGTGTGGATTTGTTTTTACACTTAACTCTAACGCCAACTGCACACTTTTCTATTGGTAATAGTTTTTTTTAATACCTTCACTATTATACAAAGCTGCTTTTGTTGGATGGAGTTTTATACCTCATCATCTGGCAATTTACTCATCACTAAATATACCACTAAATGCCAACATTTCTGCTTAACGCATTCACAATCAATACACTGCTATAGAACAGTCCATCTTTTAAAGAATAAATTTGTGTCCTGTCTGTTTTCGACATAGGACTTTGCACATATGTGCGTCAATTCAAGTCGCCACACTCCATGTAGCACACAAAGTAAGAGAAGAAAGTAGGAGAAATGCATATTAGAGACAGTAAACAGAGGTGTGAGACGAAGGAATAGTAATAAAGGAGAACAAAACAGTTTAATTGGAAATCATAAGTCACAAGGAGTGGATGCATCTGCGCCACTGAGAACGATTTTCAGCCATTTCACCAATTGTTTCCAACCATTGGTTTTTACCGTCCCGAGGAACCCAACCAGTCAGGAAGTCTACACCTTCCTACGTGGCTGGCTTAGACTAACTGTTGTGGATTTCATTGACTGGTGCCATGTTTTAGTTTGACAGCCTCTAGCTGTTTTCCAGCCTGAACCTATGTCAGCTAACATTATCCGTTGTCGAGGAAGGCGATGACTAGGCATACATAACACATGTCCTAACCATCTCAGTCGAAGTAATTTCACAGCCTCGTCGATTGATTTCCCCTCCTTACCTGGCACTCTCGACGCCTAACTTCAGTATTGCTCACCTTATTATACCACTTCAATAGTGGTCATCAGCAGAGAATCCAAGATGTTGAGTTCTGACCTCATCACGAATACAATAATAACCTACTACTGGGATGAAGGTTGTTGCAACTAACTAATCTTTAATAAGGACTAAACGTATGTTGTGTTGGATTACAACACATCAAGCTAATGTTGTCTAAATAATAACATCAAGTTAATCTGAAAGCATTTTTGAAGTGTTTCTCCCTTTAAAAAACACTGATATGTTGATCAGACTTCAAGCAGTTTGGTGTAGTAGAGTAGAATAAAAACTAACAAGAAATTCATACTTATGACTATGTGAGACATTTCCTTTTCGTTGTATGAGTTATCGTTATCTAGTGAAAACACAATGTATTACTAATGTTTTTTTCTCCCCCTCCCCTCAGTTTTATCTAGAATTACTTTCACAGTTAATATCTCTTCTGATTTGGTTAGTGTGTTGCTTTTCAAAGTGAATCCTGTCATCATCAGTTATGTTCAATTTTTTCTCTTCTTCTTATCCTTCTCATATTTAAGCTATGAACAAAGAAAAACGTGTATGTTAAAGTTAATTAAACTATTACGTGATGGTGTTATCAGTAATTGGGACGAATATTTCAAGCCAACTCTGTTAATTTTACTCGAAACATTGGGTGATGATGGTGTAAGTTGTTGTATTTATCTATCCTGTTTCTTATATGTGCATTCAATCATTTTTATTACTTTTGATAGAATTTCCTAAATAATAATTTCATTTTTTTGTTTATATGAGAAAGCTTTTATTTCACTGTACTTATTCGTTTTCATTTTATTTTCTTGAAGCATGAGACAAGAGCGCTTGCTCTCCGTGTACTTCAAGAATTAGTACGGGCTAAACCTGATCTATTTCACGATTTCGCCTATTTATTTGTCATCAAAGTCCTTGAAGCTTGTCGGGACAGTGAAAAATCTGTAAGTTTTTAAATCTTCATTACCTCCTACTATACTATATATTATCCCTTTTACGCTTTTGTTTGGTTTGACAATGTGTGCATAAGGACAGATTCTTCTACTGCAGTATTTGGTAACTTGGTGGTGACGTCATCCTTATGTATGTTCCACGTTATATAAGTATTGGGAGTTTTTAACACTTAAGGAATTCACTAACCTCTCAAATATTTGTAGTCCTTCCGTTAGAAGTCTTATTTTGAGGTTTGGGTGTTTTATTGACGAGTGAAATATGATTATCAGGAAAATTACACGTCCACTTTGTGCTCTTATTATGAGTTATTATCTATAATTTTTGTTTATTCCTTCACGTTCCCAATGGAACATAGAGCTTCAAGCTAGAGGCTTGAAGTTTCGGTAGCAGTGTTTATTTTTACAGGATGGGGTTGCTAGCCTCATGTCCAACCTTTCCTCTTTACCAGCTATTATTGCTGCTTTAGCGAGGTAAAGGAGTACGTCGGCCGGGGTTCGAACCCCGGACCATGTGCATGGTCGGCGAGTGTCCTGACCGCTGTGCCACCGACGCACTGTTATTCACTTGATAGTGAATTGCAGTAGAATCCAAGATACTTATTCCGTGCGTTTTGGGACTCGTCAGTTGTATTTCCAGTGAGTGATGTATGAAGTGAACTCTGCAATCATCGTTTCAAATGCCAAAGTGTTATCCACCAGTCTACTGAACCTCGAGTATCAGTTGTTATTTGTTATAACCGTCAATCGATTGTATTGGACCGAAATGCTCCGTCATAGCTTTCCTGCTAGGAGCCGACATACCAACAGAGATTGAGCATTTCGGTCGACTATTATAATCGGTCAGTGGGAAATACAAATACACAATATTTATAACGTCGATCACTGGCCGACGCTGACCTTCAACTGCCTTATTCGGCTGTAAACCCTACAAGGAGGGAAGGTTGGGCGTGAGGCTAGCAACCCCACCCCATAAAGGAAAATCCTGTTGCTGAGACTTCAAGGCTTTGACTTGAGACTCTATTCTCCACTCGAAACGCATAGGAATAAAAAAATATTTTTAACAATTACTTTTTGGACTTTTTTGGGAAATAGTTGAATTATGTTCCCTATAAATGTTTTAGTGGGTCACTGAGGTCAATCCACTAATATTCACACCATGAAATCGATATTTCACCATATAAATTATTTAAAACCTTATAGATATTGGTTTGTTTCTTCTATATGTTTCTTAAACAAATTTGTACTTTAGTTCACGCAGTCAATCGTTTATGTGTTCTTAAGTATGTATACATTGGTATTTTCCTGATTATATTTCAGTACTAATGTATTACTAAATCTGCCTATTTGATGACTATTTCAGAATATATAATATTTCCACTTCGGCTTCTTCTAAATGTCTACCATCACGTAAGCCGTTAGTTACTTCATCTGATTCAAACCCAGAAATAATCAACAAGGTAGAAAAAAGAATGAAATAAAGTCACCTAGACAGTGGGAGAGGCGTAGGGGGTGGGGAAGATTTCTTTTTATTGTCCACCTTCGCCTGTGTGTAGAAGACGAGTCCGAATTTTGTTCTAATGCTTTGATGGAATCCGATTGTCATCAAAGCGCTTATCCTGTACGCTTGGTGATCACTATCAATCAAGTGCGACAAAATCGAGCTGCTTACAGATTTTATTTCACCATTTTTGAACATTGAAGGGGGGGTTTTCAGCAATCCTGCCTAGCTGTTCCTCCTTTATAACCCTCTCCACAGAAGCAGCTATGTCTAATTAGGGTTGAAAGATATCCGCTAAATGTCTTTTGTCCACTGCAGATTCACTTTTAAGGAAGTGTATAAGAAAATGAAACTACTGTTTAACACTAACCACTGTGCAATAATTTCCTGTACTCACATTACTGCGATAAAAATGTGTTTAAGCTTATTGGCTTTTCATAGATATCCAAAGTTATTCAGTTTTATTAATGCGAACTAATTAACCTAAAGACTTCAGAATGTATTGTTATTTCCCCTCTGTTTATTTGAAGGGTTAAAGAATGGATGACCTGCATGAGTAGAATCCTGGCTAACCACATACCTGGTTGGGGTTCGACTCCCGGTCGATACTCTTCTAAACCTTGCTTAGTCGGTAGTTAACCTGCTAAATAGGATAAGGTCAGGCGTGAGGTTAGTAATCCTGCCATGTAAAAAAAATAACTACCACTCAAGCAAGGTTGAAACCCTATATTCCACTCGAAATGCGAAGGAATGTAAAAAGTGGGAACAGATGGTGTCCTTCTGTTTTCAAAGAAACATTGTTTTTGTCCTTGTTCTTGTTCAAGCTATCCCGTGATATTTCACTTAATATTTTATTGATGCCAAATTAGTTGATTAAACATAATATTGTGTTATATAAGGTTATGGCTGTCAAAAAGTGTATTCGATATCCTATTTTCTTCGAATAATGAATACGCCAGCGAAAAATTCTATTTCTGATATGTGTAGTGGTGATCACTTGATGTGTTACTGTCTGACTACCCAAACTTAACTAGGTGAATTGGGTTTCGAACCCGTGAACCATTGTTTGAAAATCTTGTTTAATCCATTTACTCGAACTAAAGTCTCTTTACCTTAGTGGTTGATTTTTAAGTTTTTATTCAGAGTTGTTGTATTTTAAGCTACTCATATTTGACTTGATTTATTCGTTAGCTAATAGCAAAACTAGGTGTTGGGTAATCTAAAAACGTATTTAAATTTACTTTTTCACGTTCATTAGAATCAAAATAAAATTACCGTTACAATCTTTTCACATAAGATTTCTATTTACTTTATTCATATTTGTATATGTATATGTATGTATATATATTATATTTAATTAAAGGTTATTCGAGCAGCAGAAGACTGTGCTACTACAGTAGCTCAAAATCTTCCTCAAGAACTCTGTTTAAGTGTTCTTACTCCACTGATAAATGATCCAAAATTGCATATCAATTTACCAGCTATTAAAATGCAAATGCAAGTCATACAGAATTCATCACCTGAATTAGTACAAGAATCTATTAATGCATTAATCCCTGGACTAGTCACTGTGAGTTTACTATTTTTATATATATTTATACACGTTTAGAATTGTAGATGTTACTTTTTTTTCATTTTGTTGTTAAAGCAACGTAGTTTTAACTTTTGGGGCTATTGTATTATATATCGATATTTATTAAGAACTTGAACATATTTTTATTCCGTTACGTTCCTATTGGAAAATAGGAATTCTCGGTAGCAGTGGTATTTATTTTTACGGGATGGGGTTGTTAGCCTCATACCCAGCCTTCCCTCTTTACCAGTCTTATTACTAGCCTGGAGAGGTGAAGGAGTGTGTCGACCGGGGATCGAGCCCCCCCCCCCCGAACCACCTGCATAGTTGGCGAGCATTCTACTACTGTGCCACCGACGCACTACTTGAACATATGCATCTCATATTATACTAACACATTGTTAAACATGAGTATCTTAAAACTTTAAATAGGATATGATGGACGAAACCTGGAGATAATATGGTTTTTACTCAACTATGTAGTCTCTTTCACTTAAAATGACTTCGCGTTATATTTGACTAGGTAAATTAGATCTACGTCAGACCAGTAGTGTAATCAAATCCCACCAATACCTACCTACAAACGGTTTACACCTCCAAGTACTTTTATGATATCTCTGACGTTATGTATATCATATTGTAACGACAGAAGACAAGGGCCAGGCAACAGATCGTTTATCAAGGAAAATCAACACATATATATAGATTTTAATATACATTATTGTAGATTATTGTTAGTAGAATATACAGTCTTTTGATTGGTTGCTTCTAACAGAAAGTTAACCTTGCATCTCTTTGTGGCTGTGTCAGACCATCTATATGCTAACTGTATCGTCCTACGCAAAGTCTGCTGTCCATCTTTGACCTTGTTTTCACATGACTAATATTTGAGACATAAACATTGACGTCAATTACTGTCTACCAATTTGGCTAGCAACCATCTCTCACCAGAATATAACTTCTTGTGTTTCTTATAAATTATCAATCAATTGGATTCATTTAGTGAAATGGTGTGTGTACTACTCTCATGTGATAAAGGATACAAAAAATAATGAGTGGTGCATCCCGAAAATGAAAATACCAAATGAAGCCCATAAAAATGTTTTGCAAATGATGACCAGTTGTAATTTAGTGTTCGGCGACTAGCAGTGGAATCCAGAATGTGAATTTCGTCCTACGGTAGGACTCGCCACCTGGATGTACCTAAATCCTTCAGTGAGTGATGGTGTCCCCAGTGAGACTCGCACCCAGTACTCATCGTTTCAAACATCAAGGCGTTATTCAGTATACTACTTGGGTCACGAAAGCTTCCTCTTACGCAAAAGAAATACATTATCTCTATTATTCAAGTCAATTTTGATTTTCCGGTTTAAGTGATTGTGGTGGACTTGGGACATTGTTGACGCGTCCGTACTGGGATTCAGCATATTAACAGAGTCTAAACATTCCCGTCCAATCAGTCGAAGGGAAAATCAAAGGTGACTTAAAAACGGATAACTGTTTGTGTTGTAGAAAGTTCACTTATAAAATATTTAGGTGATTAAGTGCTAACTTTATATGAATTCAGTCTTATTTTTATTCCTTTACGTTCCGAGTGGAATATAGGGCTCCAAGCTAGAGCATCTGAAGTTTCTGCAGCAGTGGTGTATATTTTTACGGGATTGGGTTGCTAGCCTGATGCCTAACCTTCCCTCTTTACTGGCTTAGTAGTGAGGTTTGAGAGTGCGTCGGCTGGCGATGGATCCCGAACCACATGCTTTGTTAGCGAACATTCTACCTCTGAATCACCGACGCACTTGGATTCGTATTTAACTAACCTAACTGATTAATATCAAGGAATAATTTTTAATAACTAAGGAATGATCTTAATGTGTTTCCTGATTTTGTTAGTCGTTATGATAAATTATTATTATTATTATTGTAATGGTTTTTTCGTTATTCACATTGGTTATTGTATAGGCGTGTAATCATGAAGAGAGTGCCATCCGTAAAGCCAGTGTATTCTGCTTAGTTGCGATTGCTATGAAACTTGGAGATACTATTTGGGAATATCTTACAGAATTAAATGCAGGCAAAGTAAGCTTTATTATTATTTTTTTATTGATAGCATAGTGATATGTTATCTTTGTAATTTGTATTCTTTAATACAATTTCTCTATACTCCTGTATATAAAAAGAGAACCATCTGTATCTGGGAATGCTACGATCAATTATTCGAAAAAAAGTATATTGTCCAGAAGTATTATCCTTCTCAATCTGACAATCTTATACACTTATTGATCATAATGAACTTACTGAGTGTTGTGGTAAAGGTTGATAGAAGAGTTATAAATATCACATTCAACCTTTGGTGAGAAGAGGTGAATCAGTACCACCATTACACAGAGACAGAGAGATACTCATAGAAAGAAAAAAGTTTAATTTTGATTATATTAGATAGTTGGAGGCAATTGGCAGGAATCCCAGACTGACCTCGGTTTCGTACTAGTTGCCACTCGTCAGCAAGGCGTATCCAAAACCTTCAAGGAACTCATGTCCCTTGTGAGATTCGAACCCGCGTCACCCAGTGGGGCTGCAGTTAGAGACGTTACCACTGAGCTATTCACACTCGCGATTGACCTCTTGTAGAACTGAGTTGAATTCAGTTTTCTGGAGGTAAATAATTTAGTCTACCAGGATAAATGAGTCATAAGTATTCTGTGACGGCTAAATTAGATGTAGACACTTTCAAAAGTAGTCTAACTAAGCATAGCTTTTAAAAAAATTAATTTTAAACAGAATGAAAACGTATACTTTCAGTATAGTACGTATATTTCTATGTATACTACTCACCTGAAGTCGAAAATATTTTTTCTCCTAATGACAGACAAACGTATTTAGTCTTCTTTTCTTTTTTACTAAACAAAGAAAATATTGAATACACTAATTTCTCTGTTTGTCTTTTTCTTTTTTTGGGATCTGAGAATTCAATTTTGTCAATTTACTTTTCTCTAGTTTCGATTGTTAGTTGTTTGTCTTTTTGCTGTAAAAATCTAAGCATAGTCTGATATTTAAAGTGTCAAGATAAAAAAAAGCGCAACAAATTCGGGGAAATTAGTCATAGTTTTACAAATTCGTGCATATTTCTCATCCTGGAGTATATATTTGTATATATATACAACACCTTTCTGCTTCACTCCAACCCTTTTTTCCAAATATTCTGTGGACGTTCCATTGGACAAAAGTTGGTGACAGTAAACCTTAACTCGCTTTATGTCCACACTGATGATTCATTGCGAAGTGAAGTGACTTGGCTTTCAAAAAACAATAGGCCAAGGTTGTAAATCCCTCTCCACCTACTTTTGCAGTCCAAGTGTAGCCTACAAACCTGGTGCATCAATCGTCGATTTTGCGTAGAACTCAGGTCAAAGAAAACTCAGACGCTTCCATAACAAACATTTTTACTGGTTCTATATTTTTCTTTAGAGATATTAACCCCTAATGGGAGAATCCTTTAGTTGGTGGTGTTATCAATAAACTGAATAACGCAACATTCGCACAGCATACTACTTATTTTTTTGTGAGCATTTAAAAGAAAATGATATAAATTTAAGATATGGATAGAAAAGTAGTTTACGACAGTAATTACGGATAATAACAATAGTATGTGTGTGTGAAATACACCTAACTATATATCATCATCTAACATACATGTAACTTAAAAGCCTAATAATGCATAGTAACTATCCAAACTTATTGTGCAGTTGGATTATTGAATTGATCGAAAACATTGATGATCAAGTTCTGTTGGGTTACGTTAAATTTTTCCCCATCTGATTGGATTATCAGTCAATCTCAACGAAGAATATTCTTTTCAGTAATCACTCTTCAGGTTCTTACAATTATAAAATATAATATTTGATGTCGTTGCATTGATGATAGCCAGTTATGCATGCGGCGGATATATTTTTTAAATGTGGCACTACAGATTAGTTATGGGGTGTCGAAATAAATAGTATTTGTGTGACAAACGTGTTAGGCTGAAATCGATTACAAAATATTGTAAAATGGGAGACAATGGTGATGATTAGTCATAATAGATTCGTAGAATGTGGGTTAGGAAAAACTGACCAGCCAGTTTCATGGTTATCAAAGGTGTCAAGTGAGTGAATGGCTAGTAGAAAGTAATATGTATTTAAGAGGAGATAGTAAAACTGCAATGAGAGATTCATCATGAAATAACCAATGTGTGAAATGAAACAGGTGGAGGCGTGTACTGAGAAAAGAGATAGTATTACTAATAATAAGTCCGGATAGTATAGATGGAAAATTCGATAGTATTGAGAGAATGTTTGAAGAAGGGAATAAATGATAACGAATAATAGTAAATGCAGTAATAAGCAAAGAAAAAGAAAAAGCCAAGAGGGACAAGGGGAGAAGAAGAAGAACCATTAAGCGAAGTTTGGCCACGGTAGGAACAGCGTCTAGACGTGTTCTTTTTGAATACAAATTCCAGTTTTGTCTATCTTAGTGTAACATCTTCAGCTATGTGTAGGAGACGTAAGCGAACTGTACGTGATAACGGACTTAGAATTTGGTATATAACCCTGAATTATGTGTTGGCATCGATGCTATGTCCAGTATCGACCAGGTGTGACAGAATCGAGCTTTTTATGGATTTAATTTCCCCCTTGATGAACCAAGCTGGTAAATGTTCTCGAATCCGTAGACGGACTTGCCTAATCGCATGCCCTAACTTGAACCACAGAAACAGTTGAAATGCTGTATGCATGAAGAAGACTTCTTTCAGTTGCTAGATGAATATTTGATGGCTGCTGAAGGATAGGGACAGATATGCAGAGGAGAAAGTTTTCTTTATCGCACTAGGACAAATACTATTTATTTTGACACGACGTAACTACTCTGTTATTCTACGTTAAAAGATGTATCCCCCCCGCATAACTGGCCATCATTGCAACGCCAACAAATATTATATTTTATAATTGTAAGAACCTGAAGAGATATTATTGAATATAATATTCCTCATTGAAAATGACTTTGAATTCAAGAGATGGTAACGTTCCAAGGTAGGTAGTTATCGCTACAGATTAATGTCAACTGGAGGATAATCGTAAGCCTTCAGTACCATTGTGTCAAGCAGAAAAACCTTTATGTCACAGAGAACGTCATATCACCCGAACGTAAATGCAGTACAAATCATGTGAAATCTCATTCTATAAAACCAAAACTTAGGCGAAACAAATCTTCATTGGTTTATAATTTTCAGAAATTCTCCAAGTCAGATCAGTTTGCATCGAAATTAACTATTCGTTATTCATTTTCTTATTCTTTGTAGAAACGTCTTTTAAAATTGTATATTGACCGTCAACAAAGTTCAGCTACATCAGATGATTCAATTACAACTAAAAGTTGATATAGTGTGTGTGTGATAAAGACAATAATTTACAAAAGCACCCCGAGATATAAGTGAGAAAAAAAATGCTTTATTGTCGTCATCCTGTTGTTGTTGTTGTTTTATTTTCCCCACTCTGATGGAACATCAAATAATTTTGTTTTGTCGCTTTTCTTTTTATTTCCTCTGACTTTGTCCCCTTTTTCTTCTTATCTCTGCCTGCCCATTTTATCACCTCTCTCCATGCACACACACACACTGTTGACTACAAACCGAATGGATTGTGGCATTTCATTGTCTTAAATTAAGTTGTTTTTTTAAAATACATATACACGCTAGTTTCCAACCAGTATCTCTCTTTAATTAACTTTTTCCCCTCCTTTTTATAATTTTAGTCAGATTTTTAATATTAATTAATTAATTGCATAATTAATATAGACCGTCTCTTTTTTTGTATTGTGTGCCTCCAGTTTTATTTCTGTGTTCTCTTCACCGAATAATAATATTATCTATCTGCATCATTATTGTTACATACAACCCGGTAAATGTAGTTTATGTAATAAACATACATTTTTAAGAAGAGAAGGTGGGGGTGGGTGAGAGGTGAATGTAAATGTTTTCCTATTCCTTTGTTTTTCTGGTACCATCCTTTGCTGTTTGTTGTTTGTTCGCCTCTCTCTCTCTCTCTCTACGTATATTCATGAGTACATACCCTGAAAAAAACGTTTTTTTGGAGATATACGGTTATTGGCTGACTATACCAACGCTTTTAACATGAGCGCGCTTATTCATCACTATCATTTTACTAAATCCTTTTTAGGTGAATTGATCATTATATTGTGTATCAGTTGTAGTTTTTGTGTTTTTTCTTTTGTCTGTTCAGAAAGTTAGTGTAATTAATCCCTTTGAAGGTATAATAATAATAATATATTTTCGAATCTCATTTCCTTCTTCGATGTCGTGCCTACTCTACTTTCGCTTAGCTGTGAAATTCTTTCATCTTTTGGTGTTTGTTGTAATCAGTTTTGGAAAGCGTTGATGCTAATCTTCTTCTTCTTTTTCTTTTTTTTAACAATTTGTATAAATTAAAAAAAAATAGTAACTCGCGTTTTTATCGACTAACTAACTAACTACTAACGATCAGTTTTCCAAGATAATAATATTACTTGAAAGAGGAACATTGAATTTTTGCTGTTTTATCTGAATTAACTTTTTTTGGCGGGGGGGTGGGGGAGTTTCGGCTTTCATCAGTAATTGTTTAATATATGAATACCTCTCTCTTTTCTCCCTCTCCATTACATATTCTGCACATATTAGCACATGTGTACATCTTTATAGTATCTTTTCATTGTATACTACTTTTTAATAGATAGTAGACGATTACTTATTTCTAATATATTATTGTTGTCATTGCCTAGTGTTGTTACACAACATATATATATATATATACTTGCTTTCCGTAAAGTCCTATGTATAGGAGTTATCCATTCCTGTTGTAAACAACAGCACATTGAATAATATATACATGGGTGCGAAAAATGTTTATGTATCGTTTTCTGTTTCTTCTTTCTCATGTTTGCGTCTTATTCTACGCAAATCCATATGTGGATCTCAGAAAATACCGTTTTTCCTCTCTCTCTCTCTCTCTCTCTCTCTCTCTTTCCTTTCTACTCTTCTTTTATCATCTTCTGTCTTTCCATCGACGTTTACATCACACTTGAACTAGTAGTTGTTCACAATTCCTGTTAGACAGCAGACCAGACAATTTTTTCTTCTTCAATTGATCTCCAGAAAGTAGGAATAGTTAATTGTAATGAAAGAAAAGAAAAAAAGCCACTGACCACTTTTATCACTTTTTATTTTATGCCACTCACACACACACAAACTCACACTTTTTTCTCCCCATGATTACAGCCAGTTTCTATTTATTATTGTATCCACTAGTTGTACACCTATGGGGATTGCAACAAATAAGCTGTGTGTATACTACATAATATACCTCTTGTGTATTTTTAATTTGTATGGATGTTTGTGCGGTGTGTGTTGACACATATGTACAGGATTTGTTCCCTTTTGTGTGTCACAATTCCAGAGTTACTTTATTCAGCTTTTTGTTCTGTTGTTGTTTTTTTCGTTTTTTTTTTGAATTTTTAAACCTTTAAATGCATCTTTTCATTATTATTATTGTTATTATTATTATTATTATTTAGTTTTCAGTTGATTGTAATATGTCATAATTATTAATAATGATGATAATATTAATAACTTGTATGGTAATTATTCAGATTTTTCCCTTTTTTCTATTATCAGTGTAGATACATATAATTGTATGTATGTGTATACTCGTTAGAATACTAAATTAACCGCTTCTGTTTGGAAGTGTGTGGGCGGTTGTTACTTCCCGGCTGCCCACACCGTGGAAGCTGATTGATTCTTCGTGAACCTGAAACAGAAAGAGTGTTGCGTGACTGCAGAGCCCAGGGGACAACTGTTTGAGGCCGGTCACACGCGGCCTGTTTTTGGTTGTTCTTTATTGTTCGGTGTGTCTCAGTAGCATATTTATCACTTCTGCCCTGTGACACGGCAGCAGGAAGCGCGGTCGTTGGTAATCCGGGCCCCGACCGATCCGGCATGATATTTTGTGAATTTGTTCGAATCATAGTATTGGATTGGGTAGCTGCTTTTTGTCTAACCGCTATCCAAACAACTTTTCTGGCATGTTAGGACCTGCAGGAACATAAGTTTCAGCCAGTGTAGCTCGTTGGGTCATTGTGATATGCAAGCTCGACCACCACGTCAAGGTAACAGCTATCAGTTAACCGCTTAAATTACTAATATTTATTCATATCAGTAGATTACGGTTTCAAAGCATCTGTAATTGATTATATGCACCAGTATAACACTAATTTTAAGCCGAATATCTGATAAAGTAGGAAAGATAATGCGGAATTTATGGATTTACAGGATTAACATCAGGCCAGGGTAGTAATATATATCGGCTAGACCTGTTTCCTTTGCATGCAGAGCTCCGCTTGTTTCAAGCGAATTGTGTAATGCTCTCTGTTATTTAGAGTATTCGGTACCTAGGAGCTTTTGTCAATCTATTTGGTACCCGGTAGACGACAGAAAAAGCTAATCCAGTGGTGGCTTTATGGCCTGTTTGAACAAGATGGCTTAACATCTCACTGCTACATAGCTACACTGGTTCATATTCGAGACGAGACACGAGAAACTAGGTTCCTACAACAACGGCCAATATGACTGGATCCATTGGGGTAGTTGAATTGATATATTCAGTAGGAGGTGGCTAGTCTAGGTACTTTATCTTTCAGTTGAGAAATCGGCGAAGTACAAGAATAGAGTCCCAGGATTGTAAATGTTCCAATGACCTTGAACGCATGCTAGTTATTGGTTTAGGAAACTTACCATTATTCTACCGCGAAAATGAACGCTGTTCATCTACTGAGATGCAAATTTCACCCAGATCACGTATTTCAGTACTGCCTGGATAATGGATTAATAGCACGTACTCGGATATGTACTCGTGGTGCTTCTATGAACCTGCAGGCGTATACGCAGGTCATTGACGGATATGTATTTAGATGTACACAGTGCAGAAAACGAATAAGTGTTCGTAATGGTAAGTGACAGTCTCAGTTAATTGTCTTCTAGGGACTTTCTTTGAAAAATCAAAACTTCCGTTGACGAATATCCTGTTTATGTGCAATTACTGGATTTTTAAGTCCGGAGTGAGGTCAACCGCGGCTCAGACAGAAAATACCTTGACATCTACTGTTCAGTGGTGTCAGTTTTGTAGAGATTTAGCATCATGGAAAATGAACAATATTACACAAGTATTGGGAGGAGTGGGTGTTACCGTTCACATTGACGAAACAGTACTAATAAAGAAGAAATACAATCGGGGACGTTCTAGAGCGAACAGCGTTTGGGTATTGGGAATTTATGACACCCAAATTCGCAAAGGATCATTGAACTGATTCCAGACAGGAGTGCGGGCACTCTTCTGCCTATTATTCAGAGACTTGTTTTGCCTGGCACTACTATACACACCGATGAATGGGCGGGATATAACCAATTATCGCAATTGGGATATATACATCATAGAGTTAACCATTCGAATGATTTCGTCGACCCTGTCACCGGAACCCATACTAATTCCATCGAAGGTTTCTGGGGAAGACTGAAAAATAGAATCCGAGCTATCAATGGATCACAAAACGAAGTTATTTTCAGTCATTTGGATGAATATATGTATAGAAATTGGTTTAATTTCAAAACTGAAACTCCTCTTAATAATTGGAACATTTTTTATCTCATATTAGAGAAAAGTACCCTGTTTGATTTTTTTTCATGCTTATTTATGTAAAAATACGTAAAATTTTATGCAAAAATCACCCTTTTTTCTGATTGCTCGGCTCAAGGTCATTTGTGCGTTCGCATTCCTTGGGACTCTATTGTAGAACTTTGCCGAGAAATCACAGTCGATTTTATGTGAAGTTCTTCTAATCGATTTTTATAACTTGTTGGTATTATATTGCTTGGTGCATCATCACCTTAGAATCGCAGTCGTATATTTAGAGGCTTCTGGTTAGCAGATATAGGAGAGTTCTTTTCTAGTGTCTTGGCCATGTCGTTCATGAAGAAATTCTCGTCGTAGCTATTTTCAATTAACGTGTCATATACAATCATAAATTCGTCTTCAATAACATCTTCTGAACAAATAGAATATTATTTGGTTCACTAATCAGTTTCTAAAAATTTACAGTGAATGTGTTTTTAAATAACCAAAAGACTCAACGAAAGGAGATAAAACCAACATCATCTACATAATAAATTGTAACAACTGCGAAAAACACTACATTGACCAAAGTGGACGTCCCCTTCATCTTCGTATCCATGGACATAAGCTAGCCGTCAAAAGACATGACATCCACTCCCTCATATCACTACATACAGACAACCACGGACATCAATTCAACTGGGACAACGTTCAAATATTAGACAGAGGAAACATCAAGAATGCT